TAGATAGATAGATAGATAGATAGATAGATAGATAGATAGATAGATAGGCAGAGAGAGACAGGGGGGTGGGTAAACTCATATATTCATGAATATGAGTATGAATATGAAGCAAGTAATTCTTGACAGTAAGATAAATGTTGTTAAAAATCAGGGGTGATGGAAGCCAAGGCTGCTGATTCTATTTACATCATCCAAATCTACAGGAGAACCTAAAACTGGAACCCAGATCTCCAAGAAAAAAACAGCACTTAACGGATATTTGTCACCTATGTATAATTTTGTGTCTGTGTATATGTATTTATGGTATGTTATGAATATAAATCAGAAGTGCAAGAGTTTAAACAGAACAAAAATAAGATAAAGGATATTAGTAAGTCTTCCATATTTTTCACAAATAAGCAGAAATTGCAGTGGCATGGACACAATAAAATGATATTTGGATGTTTGAAACTAAGAAACCATTCTGAATAAATCAGTTTTCAGAGCAGTTTTCTTTCTTTTTTTGTAACAACAATAATAGCAACAACAAAATACAGAACAGGATAAGATTAAGTGACTTTTCCCATGGTGCATTTCCTAAAGCTCTTTTTAATCATCATCACCATCTTCAATTATCATCAGCTGACTGACTTCTAAACTACTCTTAGATCTCTGAAGACAATACATCTGCTTAATTTATCAGAAGAAACAATTAAGATGTTCAGAGAAATTTCTGATTAACTAAACTACAAAAAATAGATACTGTTTCCTATTAAAAATAAGCAACTTTCTGTTGACCTTCTAATTTTTTTTCTATAAATGTTGTGCCCAACAACATAGTAGAATAGCTGCATCTCCATTACTTTTTCTGTTCTAATAGAAGAACTCAGTTGTCATTTGTCTTGTTGGGCCTGATGTCTAGAATCGGCAATCTTTTCAAGCAGCAGGTATGTTTTAGGTTTTGGGCACACATACATGGATGAGTTAATTAAAACATTCAATTTGCAAGACAATTTTTTAAAAAAACGAGTGCAGAGAAATCTCTGAGTTATCTTGAAAATTTTAATCAAAAGGCATATAAAGGGGATGGGCGGGATTTGTGTCATTACATGCTCCATGTATCCTGCCCATCTCATCTTGGGAGGAAGTGTGTCCTTTTTCATCCTCTTCCTCTGTTGCCTCTATGGAAACTTTCTGAGTGTCTTCTTCCAGCAGCTGTAGCAAAAATAGACTGCTGGCCATTTGTTTATTTATGAAATTAATATGGGTGCTCTTCAAAATCCAGTAACTCTTGGCTGGCTCTCAGTAATGTCTAAACCACTGAATAAGGGATCTCACCCAGAAAGGGATTGCTTTTTAAAGCGGCCATGCTTGCTTGCCTTCTATATTGTGGGCTAGGTGGTGAGAGAATGATGGCAGCACATTATGGTAAGGAAAAGGAAAACATACTGTAGAACATTGGTGGGATCAAAAGTATGAAATAACATTTTCAGATTGTAAGTAATGCATGGTTTCACCTTTGGTGAAACTGAAGGAAAATGCTGAGGTACATAGCTTCAAGGTCTTTTTCAAGGCCAATGCAGTAACACTTACAGAATGCCAATGTAACTGATATGCTATCTTGGCTTTGACCATTGACAAAAAGCAACAATAGACTTCCAAATTTTGCAATTTGTGAAAAAATGAAATAGAAAAAAAGCAGGAAAAGGGAAAATATTGGTGGAGCTGTTTCTTTTCTTTTTTGGTATTGTCTGTTTCCTTTTACAAGTTTTAATGGTAGTATAAACAGAATTGTTGTACAATATTGGAAAGAAATGCAAATGGAAAATGGAAAACAGCTTCCTCTTTGGAAATCATACCAGGAAGGTAGTCAAAATTTTGATCTGCTGATTCTGCTTCTTTAACATGTTTCTTATATAGAACCATGGAAACTGCAGATGAGATTTCCAGTTATCCACTTTTAAACTGAAAAAAAAAAGAAAGAAATAGTGGGATAAACAATACAGATTGGATATTCTCCTCCATGCTGCATTGAGAGCCCAGGATGGGTTGACTCCTTCCTATGATGTCATTTAACTGAGTCTGTACTAAGATATAAAAGCCAGCCCCTGGGAGAGACCCCAGCTTTTGACTCAGCTCCTTTCAGTCAGTCGCTATGTCTCTGAAAGCATGCTGTTAGATAGCAATCACCAGCAATCTTCAGTATCTTTTTTTTCCTCGCTTCAAGCAGCTCCCAGGGATCAGGACAGCTGCTCTTCCAGGAGAACAGGGCTCTCTCTCCTGCAACGTTGGGAGCAGCGTTGCCAGAGAGCTGTTCCGGCAAGTTGAGCAGCGTCTGTAGACCTCCCACATGCCTATGGTTAGAAAAGTGATCGGCAAACCGATAACAGTGTCAGCCAGCTGATCGTGCGGCCGGAGGCTGCCCTTTCCTTTGCTGACTTCGCTCAGGGCTCTTTATAGCCTAAGGAGCGATTCTTCTATCTTGGAGCCTGTTTCCCTAGTCACCGGCCATCTTGGATTGAAGCCTTCCACCACGAGGTGAGCGGCCATTTTGTAAGCCCGGGGGTCAATTTATACCCTAAGGGGCTTAATACAAAAAATTTCCAAACAGTTTCTTTCTATCGCAAGAGCCTTTATTCTACAAATGGAGCAAGATAAGGCTCAGGCAGAGCTTTCCCTCCCAGTGGAACAGTCTCTTAAGCCCAATAAGAGAAAAAGACATAGGCAACGCACTCAATCAGTCCAGATGGAGGTGGCTGCTAAAATCAGAGCTAAGGCTCTAGCCCCTAAGAAGGCAACTCAGGCTGAGTTGAGGCAGAAAAGCACAGACATGCAGCCCTAGAGAGGCAGTTCAACAGAACTATTCAACAGAAGGGAGTGCAACTACAGCATGTTTCAGGTGATACCTGTGGGCCCCAGCCAAGCCCTCCCAGGGGAAGAGAAGTTATCTATGAGCCTTTCCATCTCCATCCTGGTCCCCTAGACTTCTGCAATACAACCTGATCCTCAGGATCTCAGCAGATCTGGGCCTTATTTCCAACAGGCTTCTGGGCCCTATGCTCCTCCCCCTCCCTCCAAGCCTCGAACCTCTTCTCAATCTAGGCCTGAAGCCACCTTCACTCCTACAGCAGTGGGCCTTCAGCCTTCTGCCTCTATCTTTGAGCATAGACCAGGGGATATCCAAGATGTTGTCTCATTGGCCATTAGGCAGGGATTGGCTGAAGGCTTCAAGCAAATTCTTTGACCTCTGGAAAGGGTTCAGGCCCTTCTCAATCTATAAGTTCCTTGCCTCATCACCCTGATTTACACAGGCCCCAGGACCTCAGGTTCCTTTCTTCTCTATCAGAATGGGAGGAGGTTGATGAGGAAGGAAGGCCTTCACCATCTGAACATAGTTACTCCTCTTATTCAGAGCGTGAAGAGGGCGATACTTCTGACCAAAATCTTTCAGAGGAAGAGGATTCTCGCTCAGAGCAGACATCCTCTGTATTGGTCTTCAATTCTTCTCTCTTCAGGCCATTGCTTAGCAAGGCCTTGGTCACTGCCAAGCTATCACCGGAGGAAGTGGCTCCTGAGCCATGAGGAAATCCCTCTAGCCAGGGAGACTCACTCTTCTCCAAGCCTGTAGTGCATGCAGAGGTTTTGCCTTCTCCCACTTTGTTCCTGGACATGGTCAAGAAACAGTGTGCTTCCCCTTTGGCAGGTCCTCACCCATCTTCTCTGTATAAGCGTTTCTACAATTTCAGCGCAGCCCTGGACAATGCCCTGGCAGTGCCTTCTGTTGACATTCCAGTTCTGGCCTCATTCTCATTTTCTGGCACTCCCACGGAGCCAGAAGATATCCTGAAACCGGATGATAAACGTTCCGAACAGGCCCTCCAGCACAATCACCAGGCTGCTGCATGGGCTGTTCGGGCTTCAACAGCAGCATCCTTTTTCACGAGGGCATCCATACGGTGGCTGCACCAACTCCAGAATAGATTGCCTGCTTCTGACCTTGGGTCTCACCAAGACCTTAATAAGATTATTGCAGCGGCGGAATTCACTGCAGATGCCACTCTCAATTCCGCCAAATTTGCATCCAAGGCCATGGCATCTTCAGTAGCAGCAAGAAGACTTTTTTGGCTCAGAAATTGGCAGGTGGAGTCACGCCGAAAATGGAAGCTGGTT